CAAATACTGTCACTCATCATGTAATTGTGTTTGAAAAACTTCATGTAATTAAAATTAACATACATTCATTGACTGCTTGTATTTTTTTTACTTTTTCGCTGACGATATAATCTCATTTTTATTGTTTTATTGTTTTATTATTTTCAAGGAACAGTGTAAAATATTCTTCTGATTCAGGCATTTTTCATTAAATCAAGATTGGTACTATAATGTAACTTTAAAATGTTTATCTATGCCGATTTCCTGGTTAATATCGGTACGCATACAACGTTGATGCCGGTACGCATACTACGACATATCTCTATTCACATACACGACAACTAATAACAATCGACCCGTATTGGAATGATTTCATCGAGAGCAAATGACTAACAGTTCGGGCGTAACGGATTTCCGTTGCATTTGTACGGATTTATTCCCTAGTCGCGCCTAAAGAAGTTTCACTTTAATAATATTTTTTTCTAACGTTTAATTATTTTTCTCAGATGCTGCTGGTAGGGCCAAGAGATACCTCAAATACCATGATTCAAAAAGAAGATGCGAAGATATCTGGGATTGTGAGGGCAAGTGCCCAGATAATTTCCCAAATCCAGTTTGCTTCCAGAGATAACAGAAGAACATGTTTATGTGAGTTTCTTGAATTTTTATATTTATTTGCACTAAAAGAATTTGATCAAAAATATATTGCCAAGTAAAAATAGCCCTTCCTGGTATTCATGATAAAAATTAAAATATCATCAGAATTAGAACAGAACAACTATTAAAAGTTGCTCTCTAATAATTCAAGAAGCAAGTGGTACTTTGCTTCAAGGCATGAATTTCCCAATGTGTACTCGTATAATAGTAGACTTAATCAATATAAGAATGGTGATTTAGCATCCCTAATTAGTAGTAGATATTTAATTTTTATTAATTTTTTTATTAAATTAAATTTTTTAAATTGCAGGTTACGAGGCACATGTTAAAGGATGAGCTCCAAGGTCCAAAATGAAGACCCTTAATAATTATTATTACACTTTAACATTATATTGTTAAAACTAATTTTGAAAAATTTTCTACTTTTGTTATTGGCAGTTAGTGATTGTTCAATAATTTGTTGATGAATAAAAATTTGATGCATAATTAGTATTTTATGAACTTGTAGTGATTAATGAACATGGGTCAGCACAAACTAGTCTCGGAATTGTTCTCAACCTCGGATAGGTCGATGTCAAGCAGTATGATTACAAATTTCCTCTTTATATTATAGATCTCAAATAAAATCTAGTGAAAATTTGCCTTTCGTGGCCATTGCAATACATACACGTCAACACTATTAGATATAAGTGAAAATAATATATAGTCGACACTTAAAGTGAGTGGTTGACCACTGGGTTGCACTCTAAAAAAAAAAGCTAGATTAGAATGTATGATAGCAACCATAGCTCTTAGAACGCGCAATTCCAATCAATGTTAAAAAAAAAGATTAATAAAAAAATTTAAACTTAGTGCATGGCATTTTGAACTATATAAGAAAAACTTCGGACATTTTTGAAAATTTTTTGAAGCCCAATATTCACTTTCAATATAATTTTTTTTTTAACTTCGCGTAGGGTAAGTTATTGTAATCGTCCAAAAATCGAAATTGAAATTTTTTACTTTTCTTTACGCTTTGAAGGTTTCTGAATATTTTGGCATACCTCAGAAAATGGATGTATGTGTGTGTGTGTGTATGTATATGTACGGATACAGTTTTTCGTCCACGTTTACGGGCGCACGGATCAACCGTTTTCAATAGTTGAAAAAACATTCGATTTCTATTGATAGGGAGATGTGCTGATTTTTGGCAAAGGCAGGTTCAGCCGTTTAGGAGATACAGAGCTAAATGTGCAAAAAATGGCAGTTTTTTGCGTCCGATTTGAATGATTCAAAGAACTTTCTGCTTGTTTTAACAAAATAATTGCTTTTGGAAAAAAAAATTGTTCCAATTTTTGATATTTTGGATTTGTCTATCGAAAATAATTCAGATTTTAATTGTAATTCTGACTTAAGTTTTAATATACTTTAAACAAATATTTTCAACTTTGCAATTCAGTTTATATAATTCTTATAAATATTAGATAAATTACGATATTTATAATAATCTATTTTAAATATTTAATATTTCTCAAACATTTCGTTACGGTACGGGAAGTTCCAGCATTTGTCTTAAGGCACGATGCCATACACACAACACAAAACTAATCATTTCTTCAATACAAGAAAAATGTTTTTGAATCATTCATTCCGTTTTCACAAAGACTCTTACATTTTGTTCAGTATTTCCAAAACGGATAGACCCGCCTTTGCCAAAAACTAATCAGCATGTTGTCGCATCAATACGAATCGAATGTTTTTTTGAATAATTCAAATCAGTTGATCCGCGCTTTCTAAATTGTGACGACGATTTGTATCCAAACATACATAT